TATATATATATATATATATATATATATATATATATACATACCAGAATATACATTTTACAAATGTCTGAAAGGGAACAGATGGATGCCAAGGCTTATTTGACCCAACCTTACAACCTTATAGACAAAAAAAGTTCCTGTTTAGCCAGAATCCCACATTTTCTAAGATGTGCTGTGAATCAAAGATAATTAACTTTAACAAGCTGTTATCTGCCTCTCATGGGACACTGAGAACATAAGGGCCCCTCACTGCAGTGGTTTTACCACAGTGTTTCTAAAAGTTTATGACTCAGTCTGTTGTAGTTGGCCTGCTATCAATGCACATGGGACATATCCATATATTTTTTAGGCTTTTACAGCGCTAATGGCTTGTTTTTTTGTACATTGGGCTGACAGGAAAGGGAGAGGGGGAGAGACATGCATCAAAGGATCACAGGTCAGATTCGACCCTCGTGCACACTAACCACTGCTCCATACACAACACATACATAGTTTTAACATTCTTCAGAAAGGCGAAACACATATGTAGGACTCATTCCTGCAATTGTGTTTATCAACAATGCAACTTCAAATGGCAGATAGCAATGTTGTGGACTTTCTTCATTCTCTTGATGTTAATCTAAAAGGCAAACTTGTACAATGATAGTGCCGCAATATATCAAATAAATACATTATTGGTAAGCAGTTACAAAGACACATTTTTTTGTCTCTGGGATCATGGAGATATTTTGAATTGAATTGAAATGCAGTGATGAGACAGATCAGTCCATTTTAGGATATTGCAATGGGGGGGGATCAGACTTTGATGGTGTATTGCTTTAAGATTTGTTTTCATCATTTCGTTTTGACAGAAAATCGTAATTATTCAGTTTCAAACTTGCATGAATATCCCAGGGAAGCTGTCAGGGGGTGGAAACCAGCAGGGAATGTCCTCATGTTTCTTCCATGTGAGGAAAATAACCTACCACTGTGTTGAATTTGGGGTCTCTCTGAATAAATGAAGTTGCCATTTTTGTTGGATGATTATAAACACTTCTATGTAAAAAAAAAAACATATTTTAATTCATTATTTCTGATAAGTATAAAGACTTGTATACTTACTGTATAATATACAGTATACAAGTATAATATACAGTATACAAGTCTTTATACAGTATGCTATACAGTCTGCCAGGACCATTTCCCTTTAGTAAATGTGAGCTGTGGCTGCCATTGTCAATAAGAAATTGCATACTGATTTATTTATTTATTTTTTTTTACTGAACGAATGGCTTTTTTTTTTCAACAG